GAAATATTCCCATACTGAGTCATAAGAAGAAGGCGTAAACAGCGAAGAAAATTTTCTTTTCGGTGATTCATTTTCATGAGCTGTACAGTCGTAATTATAATTAACAAAGAAATCTTTAGGTTAGTCAGATAATGGTAAACTTTGTCCTCGAAAAATGTATTACATAATGTAAGGGATGACTAACTGTAAGTTAGGAAGTTGACAGAAGTTGACATGATATGATAAGTGTGAGATAATGACTAATCAATAAGCTCGTGTAAAATGGACAGGAACTAGTGGAAAGGCGATAAAGTGCTTTTAAATAAAATCTGTATGAAAAAGCAATGTTATTAATAAATAGTAATAGAGTGGTAATAAAATATGGATGATGGGAATAATAATGATAATAAAATAATAGTAGTAATAACAATAATAATAGTGAACTTACATAATGAAAAAAGGCAGAAACAAAATTATTGTAAGAAATCTACTCTGGCCACGGCGGTAGGACGAGTGAATATACGTATCGCTCTTGAATGCAGGGGTCCGGTTTTTGATCTCGAATAGCTAATGCTTCAGGTGTGTACAGATCGCGTATCCGAAGTCCCTTTGTACGATATTGAGGGACTCTGTGTAGCACTGTGAAGCATTCATGTGGCGGTCCTCGATGTCCGGAGATGACAAGGTGTTCGAGGATAGAGCTGCTGCTATTCTTCTTTTTTCTTCTATCTGATCAAGCTGGACAGTGTTCCAAAATACGTTTGTGGGCTTGACGTTGTGTACGGCCGAGATACTTTGCTCCACATGAGCAAGTAAATTGATAAATACACATTGAAGTGGCCAGAAGCAGTATCTTGTCCTTAGCGCTAGACTGGATTATTAGTCGATTTGGTATCACACAGTTCCGTGTAAACTTTTCTTCTACATCGAAATGTCTAATCACTGAAAAAACTTAGTTAATTATAAAGATTTCCTGTTGCAATGATTTATCATTTATCTAAAAAATAAATATATATATATATATCTACTTTTGGGATATAAACCAAACAGTTATACTATTAAGGAAGTTTACTATTACTATTTACTCGTTACCTAGTTCCAGGGTGGCAATAAGGCTTCAGCAGAATATCTTCATTTCATCCCACTTCTTACAAGTTTTCATTTCCTTCTCACATAATCTCCTCCTTGGCACTTTTGGACCTAAACCCAACTCGTCTCTTCTCATTCAGGTTCCATTTCATCTCCATTTCCTGAAGTGTATTTTCTGTGTAATATGTGGAAGTTTTCGCTTCCAGAGGTCCTTACTACTTGTCGCTTCTGGCCAACCATCTGATCTTCAGTATCAAGCCAGCGAAGACAGATGCTAATGAAATTCTACATAAGGCTGTTGAAAATGCCTTTGGCGACCTATTTGAAAAGTCACTGAACCATGTAGAAGCACTGGATTGCCGTCTCATTGATGTCTTGTCCATTGATGCCTGAAGCTGTCTGCAGAAGTCTTTCTTTCTCTCCAATGGGTCTACTTTATTTTTTGTTAGGTAGCGTTGTATTAGCGTAACTTTATCATTTAAGTTAAATCTCACCATCATGATTCTGGAGGAGATTGGTTCGCATTGTATATGAGCCTTCGATGCTGTCAGTAACACTGTGATAACCACACTCTCTGCGGTTACGGTCAGGATGACTAGAGTGACTCTCCAGCTAATATTTTGATGAGTCCATTTCTATCTCATCTGCTACGACAGATTCCTGATGCACACGTATTGTCTGTTTGCTACCCTCACAACCAGTCACTCTCAAGCCCGAACAGCTCAATATTAGCTGTGACTGCACTAGGTGATCCGGGAGGAGACATGAGTTCTTTCAAGATTGTGGATATGCCTTGTTGACAAGTATCAACAAGCAAGTAACCTAGGTTCAAGACTTCTTGTCGACTGCTTCCAAACACCTAATAACGACAACTACCCTCTTTTACCGAAAGTCCTATTGGCTAATAAACAACACGAGGTTTAGAAGTATGTTGGTCAGGATCATTCAAATGCTGAGCTGCCAACAAACTAGTTCTTATTCCAGTATTGGTTTGTAGGGATTTGCTTGACTGATTACAGGATTTCATTATGAGCTGGCATTGGTTAGAGAACCATTGGAAAACCTGGGAGTACTGGACAGTTCCAGTGGGAAGTCGTGACCAGTAGGGTGCAGCAGGTCGGGTGTGAGGACAAATACTTACCAAAAACATTGGCTGGGGTCGCGCTATGTCGTGATTTGGCAGAAGTTAGAATTCATGGGCCATTGGATCGGGTCCCAGTGGCTTAATGGTATACGAGCACGCCTTGTAACCTGCAGGTCCTGGGTTCGAATCCCGGTGGGTGCGTACTGCTGAAGAGTCTCAAACTAGGACGAAACTGCTGTCCAGTAATCCCAGGTTTTGCAATGACTCTCTAACCAATGCCAGCTCATGATGAAATCCTGTAAACTAGTTCTTAAACTGGCAGTTCTCCTTTCCTACTTCTTGTATAGTGTTGGCATTTAATTAAACAGTCGGGTTATCTTATTTATTCATTCGTGTGCATAGTTCTGATTATTTTACAATTATGCTTGAAATCCACTTTTCAACGCAGACACACACACGAAAACATCTATTCATGTAAGTGACCACAAAATTCGGTCAATAATTTAAGAATAACAGTTAGAAAACAACGCATATATATACAAATATGTCTCACACACTTCTTTTTTAAAAGTTCTTACATGACATAAGCATTTATATTTATTTGTACTATTTAACTACATTTCATTCTTGATTAGAATCAATACAAGTGAATGTAAATTATAATGGACTTTGTGTTTAGTATTGATTATTATTGTTATTACTGATTTGATTTCATAATTCTATTCTACTTTTTTTCTTACTCTTTTATTGTTGTTGACATAAAAATAGGCACATCTTTATGCATGAAAGAGTCATAAACATCGTAAAAATGATAACTGAAATTTTCAATAGATGCAAAATATTCTATGAAAAAAAACACAACTGGAATAAAGTGTATCCTAGCAACGACAAGATACTTCACAAGAGCTTAGTTACATGTGGTCGTTGAAAAGCCAATGAATCGAAGTGACTATTCAAATTTTTTAACAAATTTCAACCAATTATCAATCAGTTGAAAGTTGACTTCCTAAATAAATAAAATAAAGTTATGCATGAGTCATCCAAGGGTTCCTGTTTTTATTCTTTTTATTTTTATTTTTCAACGATTCGTTCACTAATGCTTCTGATCATGACAATATCTACAATAAAAACAATCAAATACAGCCACAAACACACACTCACCCTACCTAGTGATATCCACATCTCTAAGGAAATGAAGGTAAACTTCCGTAAGGAATTCTGCCTTACATCAGACTGAACAACAGTACTTCATAAGAAATACTGTGGATTCCTAGTTCACTCAAAGATGCCGCACGAAGAGTAAATAGTTTGCAAGAACTTAATAAGGCTGATGGTATAATGTGAATGTTGCTAGGCTATTTAAACATAAAGATTTGTAGACCAGATTGTTAAATGTTCATTGCCTTTCTAGACAGCATTCTAAGCGTTAACTTCAAGATGACAATGAAACCACACCAATTAAGCTAAGACGACCTAGTGACACCAAATACCGAAGTTTAGTATTACACACTTTCTCTTCAAATCTTTGTTGGTCGTCGCATATCTTATTAACTTCTAAGAAATTCTTTCGTTTGACTGATGTATTTAAGGATGTTGGAACTTTCTGGCATAACTCAACCTCTTCCCTTTCAATTTATTAATTTATTTATTCTATCCATTTTTCTTTATTCCTCTCTGGGCTTCCCAAAACTGTCATATTACACAGGACTTTTAAGGTTGTAGTGGTGTGCTTTCGGGTCAACTTACCGACACTGTCGTTCATACGTATTTTAATTCTTGCAAGCAACTGGCTAAAGTAATCTTTTAAATCACGAAAAATACCCATTTATTCATAAGTAAAAACACAATTTTTTTTTCAGCGAAAAAATTTCTTTTCAACGACTTCATTTTCAAGCTGTACAGTCGTATATTATATTACAGAAAAAGGTTATTAACTGGCACTAAATAATTGCTCAGTCAATATGTGATAAGATTAACGATAATTAAAATGTTATAAGGGGTAGAGTTGAAGTGGATAAATTACAAAATTATTAAAGATTGTTTTATAAATGAATTGATATCAAAAATATTTTTTTAAATGGCAAGCGTTGTCTAAAAATTTTAAAAACTAGGAGTACGATTACGATAAGAATGAAGATGTGAAGTGAAGTGGAAAGAATTCAAGTGGTAAAATGAAATAAAATAAAAACTAGAAAGAACATTACTATGACCAAGGTAAAGAAAGGGGTTTGACAAAACGTTTTTGAACAAATAATTTAGGTTTCTGTCCATGTATAGCTAGAGCTTCGGCTATGCATAAGTGAAGAAAACATAAACTTTTGGATCGACTCGATTTTGCCATGTAGATAACATTGAAAGATGAATCATATGAAGCTAAATGACCAGACTCTAACAGGTGATCACAAACAGGCGACTTTGCAGTTCTACGTTCGCCTTTCATTAACCGAACCGGATAGTGTTCAGCTACACGTTTTTGGAGATTCTATTTGGTGTAACTGTTATTGTTTCAAATAAATGGATTATTACTATTATTATTATTATTACTGACCAGCTACTGAAAATGGGGTCGAATATCAGCTCAATAAAATAATTACTAACAATATAAGCAAATTTCTAATCACATTCAAATCTGTGACGCCTTTGAGGAATCCTGAAAGCTGCCACGATTAAACCATCCAGCTCAGAGAACAGAGATACACCTATATCATATTCCCCAGAGCTATAAAACTCCTTCAATTGCCCCTATGCTTGACTTCTACATACCTTTTAGAGATAAGTGACAAAAGCACAAAATCTGGGTATTTATTCCCAGATTTTGTTGCCAGTATTTTTTCTCCTTAAACTCAATATGTGGCGCGTGCACAAATGTGAAAGGCCAAATCATCGTGTGCTTTCATCATGTAAATAAATATGTAAAGCAAGTTTTGAAGTTTATTTTTATTGCAGTCCACCCTGCATAATGTTACCTACAATAGTAACAAAGTACGCAGAAAAATAAACACCGGAGGCACAAGGAATGTGTATATGTGCACACATTAGGTGAATACACAGCCAGCTGCTAAGTACACGTTGTAAATTTTCTCAATAGCGCTGATATAAGCGGCTGTACGAACATCAAGTCCAAGATTGTAAGCGTCTGCAATATTCATAATACGCTTTGCTGATCTCTCCATGGTATATTCTAAACCAGAATGAACGATATCACGTTCAGATGCACCTGCAATACGAAGTTGAAAATCTTCAGACGGTATAATTGGTACCTTATCATTGAACTTCTTTTCTAGCGACTGCTGTACACTACTCAGCAACTGATAATTGGAATCCCGTTCATATTTAAACGTCAGTCTTCCATAACTAACGTGGTTTAGGTTTTTCAGCCATTCAAAGTACGATACCGTAACGCCTCCAGCATTTAAATATAAATCTGGAATAATCAGTTTGTTTTTCTCCCTCAAAATTTTATCAGCTTTCGGTGTTGTTGGTCCATTGGCACCTTCTCCAATTAATTTGGCACGGATCTTATCGGCATTACCACCATGGATTTGCTTTTCGTTAGCGGCAGGAACAAGGATATCACATTCTTCAAAAAGAAGCGATTCACCGGTATAAGCCTGAGCACGTGGAAAACCAACTATTGTGCCGTTAGCGATCTGCCAGTCCTCAAGTTCACGGGATCTATACCTTCTGGGTTAAAGATTTGTCCATCTATTTCAGCAACACCAATACATTTTGCGCCTGCACGGACGAGATAACGCATTGTATGTAGACCAACGTTTCCAAATCCCTGAACGATGAATGTTTTATCTTTTAGACCTGGAGTTAAGCCAATGGTATCAGCGTATTTTGGATTATTTAGAAAGTTTTCTATCCCATGGAAAACACCACGTCCGGTGGCGGATATGCTGCCATGAATCCCACCCATGGCAATTGGTTTTCCTGTTATACAAGCGTGTGCATGCATGTCATTGTGGCCTACAGTAGTTACGTAGGTATCGGCGAACCAACTCATTTCACGAGGTCCAGTACCCATATCCGGCGCAGGAACATCGGTGCCGGGACCAAGAAATCCTTGTTTCGCAAGTTCAAGCGCGAACCGACGAGTTATTCTTTCTAACTCTCCAACAGAGTGATCTTTCGGATTTATTTTAATTCCTCCCTTAGTACCGCCAAATGGCACATGCACAACAGCACATTTGTAAGTCATCAAAGCAGCTAACGCTACAACTTCTTCCCTACATACATCTAGGCTATATCGTATGCCTCCTTTGGTGGGTCTTCGGTGGACACTATGTTGGGCTCTAAATCCTTGAATAATTTTGTAATTTCCGTCATCAGCTTTGTGGGGAAAGTTGACCTCAAATATATGGTTAGGTGGCCGTATTATATTCAGTGTTCCTTTGACAATTTTCGCTTTTTCATCATCCGGGGCTCTTGATTGAAGTTCTGACATAAGTTTCTGCTCAACAAGCTTAGAGGCTTTTTCATAGTATCCTTCAACCATGATGTGGAACGGGACGTCATCTTGTTCAACACAACACGTATGACCGAATGCGCTGACGACGGGTGAGATGGACCTTGGGCATGATAAGAGTCCAGACCGCCTTTTTACAGCATTTGAGAATAGTTTCAGCATTATGGAGCCCCACCGCGCTGACAGTTCAAGACAAGTCTAATTAACTGCCAAATGCACACACCACACTCGTCCTTCCCGCTAGATGTAAAAGCCACTGCCTCATAAAATCAAACGAAGTGACTTAACTTCCCATTTTCCCAGCTGACTAGCATTGTGCATTACAGAAAGGTTATTTCATTACCACTTGACTATGATAAAATCAAGTCAAACGGAGGTAATTGTTTTCATACCAATAAATTTAATAACGATTAGTAATGCATGAGTAAAGTTTTTCTTCAGAATTAAACTCCTCATGGTTGTTATTTTCTAAGATAAAGCCTTGGTTTATTTAGTCAAATAAGTATGAAATGAAAGCGCTTTGTTTACAAAGGCAAATAATGTTTACTCACATTTCCAGCCATAATTACTATGTAAACAATTAGGAAGTAATGGCTGTTTGGTCTCACTTAGGGATTCTTTAGAGACACACAATCTTGAACACATACATTGTGGATGTCTATTCACGATGTAGTAGTGTAACGACAGAACACAATAAACGATCTGTCGCCTAGCCCTTGAGAAAATCAAGACTATTTTAATGTACTTTATTATTAACGTTGTTAGCAGAGAAGCATCATCTTCTGACTGATTGTCTCCTTGCTGAAAGTTATTCTGTACTGCTTGTGACCGTTTCTTACAAAGTTATCCACATACCTGCACACGCCAAATCTGCTGTGATTGGTTGTTGAGTTCCTCAAGATTAGGCTTTGTTGTTGTTTTTTCTCACGACCTCGATTCGGAACGTAAACACTGACGTATATTGTTGTCTGCAATTTTGGCTTGCACCACAATGGTACCACAAAAAAACAATACGATCATTGAAAATCTACTTCTTATCCAAAGTTCTAATGGGAATTCGTAACAGACAGGGTAAATGAGTTGCTTAATAACACGAGTGATTGATACGGATACTATATTGCTGAATTATCAGAAGGCAGGTGTATAGGCTATTGGATTCCACCACAATGTTTAGGTAGTAGGTATGCTCTGGTTTTAATTTGAAGGACTTATGTTAAGTCTCTAATTTGATCAGAGGTGTATAATGCTGAAGACAGAAAGTGAAACTATGACAACACGAAGGTGTAATGTACCTTGGCTTCCAATGTTTCCGTAAATGATATCACATAGTAACGAAAACTACACTGAAAACAATGATTCTATTGAATGATCAGTCGACAATATAACAATGAAGAAAAGGAATTCAACAGAGAGTTGCTTTTTTCAGTGGTATCATTCTCAAGCTATATATATATATATATAAAGCATCTATTGAAACCTCAGAAGGATGGTAATAATAATAAATAATTTTTCCTTCACGTTCCCAGTGGAACATAGGGCTCCGAGCTAGTGGCTTGAAGTTTCTGTAGCAGTGTTTAATTTTTACAGGATGGGGTTGCTAGCCTCATGCCCAACCTTTCCTCTTTACCAGGATTATTTCTGGCTCAGTGAGGTAAAGGAGTGCGCCAACCGGGGGTCGAACCCCGGACCATATGCATGGTCGGCAAACGTCCTAACCGCTATACCACCGACGCACCAGAAGGATGGTAATCCTTATGTTAAATCCTGAACTCGGTATGCAGAAGTTTGTTCAGTCGCTAAACCTACAGTAGGGCTAATCTGTTTCAACACCTGAAACGTAAAGTATAGGACATGGGCGCTGTTGCTGAACGTAGTTCCATATCAGACAAGTTTAGTTCAAACATCACACAGTGACGCGATAATAACAACTGGATCACGTTTCGAGCATAAATTATTGCTCACAATCATATGAGTTTAGCCACATAGCTTTATAATTTGTCTTATATATATATATATTTTCCTCTCTTTCTGTCTCTCCCTATTCCATTAGTTGTTTGTTTCCACTTTCCATGTCTTCAGTGTGGGCGTGGAGTCATTTTGATTGAACGTGTGAGGTGTTGAATCGATATATATATATATATATATCCGTTCTTATTGTATTATTGTTCTCTTGGGTTCCGAGTAGAACATAGGGCTTCAACAGCAGGTCTCCACTTCTTACTGTTCTTTGCGGTCCACTTCAGCTGGCCCCACGATTCTCCATAGTCTCTCATCTACTCCTCAAACAATCCCCTCCATGTCATCCTCAGACGACCCACTTGTCGTTTCCCATTCGTGTTCTACTAGAGCTATCGTCTGGCGCTCAATATCATTCGACAGTCTTCTCACAGTGTGCCTAATCTATCTCTATTTTCTCCTGCATATTTCTTGACCAACAGGTCCTTGGTTAATTTGTTCCCAGGGTTTCTTGTGGCTGATTGTCTCTAACCAGCCATCTGACCTTCAATATGGAACTAGCGAAGGCAGCTGTTGATAAAAGGGTGAAGTAGTCTGCTTGAAATGTTTTCCGTGACACGTTTGCTAAGTTTCTCACTTATGCAGAAGAGTTGGTCGACTTAACATTTATGCTGAAAATCTTAATTTCATCCTTGATGCTGATTGCAGAAGATTTCTAAACTGGTTTTGGAGTGATGAAGGTGGATTTTGCCTACCTGACTCTTCATTTAACATCTTCATCCATGCCATTGCCCATAGTTGGGACGATTTTAAACTAGATAAGTGAAAGAAATAACCTCCTTAAAATTTATTTAGTTGAGAGTGATCGGTGCTTACTGTGGTTGACTCGTTAGTTGGTCGTCTTCATTACCTACGTCTTCTCTGTGTTCCCTCGAAGTACTGTCTTTGCTACCAACCTCTCTTCCCAACTTTTCGGTTTTTGCCTGTAAGTTTCCGAATTTATGTAACATCAGAGATAAATTGTTTGTGAAGGCTAGAGTCTTCTCATGGGTTCAACGTATTCCTATTGTTTCGCTCCTTACAGTCTAACACACAATTTAGTTCAACCAACCAATTTACAGTATCATCGTTTGTGATGGCAGGCAGTCTTGCCTTCGCTTCGCTAAGTTTTCTTTTGGGGATCACCTGACACGTGGCACATTAGTGCAGCTGTTTAATGAGGTTGAACAGCTATAGAATGATCCAGCTGAAAAGAGTAACTCTTTACAGAACCCCTCTTCTTTAGTATGAACTAATGGGGCTTAGAAAACGAAGGTCTACAAAATTACTTAAAGTCATTCCAGCTTGTTTAGGAAATCAAAACAAGATTTTCCTGAATGTTTCTCTGAGGAAGTCACAGCTTCTTTACCCGAACTACTCGGAGTTTTTGAGAAAAATTCATAGTATTTATTCAAATAATACTTAATGGAACGAAATGCAATGGATAACTATAGACCTCAAGCTGATTTCATAATTTGCAAAGTATGCCATCGATGTTTTTTTATTAGGCATGTTTTGTTTGTGATTGTTACTTATAAGATTCTACTCACAACTGTAAACACCTAGTGCCTCTTATTCAGTGACTTTCCTAATGACACATAAATTATAATATCTTCTCCAGTTGTGGTACTCCACATACTACTTACATTAGCTTGAAGGTAGCGTACACCAGAGTATCGACAAAATACGTTCAAAGTTAAGTATAACATGGTGTTGGTGATTCTCAGAATGAAGTACTTGTATCGTACAAGTGGTAGTTTGTAATATTTATTCAACTGATTGAAAGCTACTCTCGAAATGTGTTCCACTCAGAAAAATCAAAAAGATAAGACCAAAAATGTTGGTAACTGTTTCTCATTTCATTGTATGCGATGATTTGTTGTTCTCTCTATAAGTTGAAATCATCAACTAAAGCTTACTAGTTTAAAATTAGTTACTATAATATACACACATTAATTCGAAAAGTTTGAAAAGTTCAAGGTTGTTGCAAAATTCAAAAACGCGTGCTTTTAAAGCTTTTTAATCTTCTGAAACTGTTATTTAAATTTTTTTTCGAATAATTTTTCGCTGTCATTAAAGTACTTAGCCCGATAAAACATAACGATACTTTGATAAGTCTACTAAAAATGTTCAAAAGATCTGAAAGAAAATAAATAGGTAACAACTGTATATTTTAAACCAGAAAATTTCTTAATGCTGATACATTTCATCGGTAATTATCTGTATTAAATGATTAATTTTATAATATAAATTTTGAATTTGTGATTTTTCTAGAGTTGTTGACAATATTTCAGTCTTTCTTGGTCACATTTAAATTCTGTTTACTTCCAAATGGTTGATGCATAATTAAACCTACTGGTTTTTATCTTACATTGACAGAAATGTATAAGTGGAAAGTGGACGCATAACCCGTTGGACAATGAAAATGGATGTTACAAAAGGAGGAGACATAATTATAAGTCACAGTATATGTGTTAAAAGAGCTCATGATGAAATCCTTCAGGCAATCAAACAAAGTCCCTACAAAACCAATATATGACAGTGTATGTGATCTGGAAATCAGATATTTGAGCCTAATTTAGATTAAGATTCACATCATTAGTTTTTTATTGGTACATGCTATCCAATCACAACATACTTTTTTATATCTTAAACTAGTGATTTATTGGTAATGCAGAAATGGCTATATGACTAGTTGTTAATTCGAGTGACATTGCTTTTTCCTTGAAGTAAACAATCTTCCCCTCTCAGTCAGTCTTCTGTATCTTTCTCAGTGTTGGAATAGTATTTGACTGAACAGTCACATATGGCTTTATGTTAAATTAGAAGTGAAAAACGTACCTAAAATTTAGTACTATCAGTGTTATAATAATAGTAAAAAATTATTCAGCTATTTGTTTTTAAAAAATTAAAAATACTATTTATTAGTGTTACTAATCATGAACGCCAGGTGTGCATTCAGAACAGATTCACTAGTACAGATGGTGAAGTATATTATACAAAATCCTGAAATACTTAAGTGACACAATTTGTCTGATGAATAAATGCACTCAAGTTAGATCACCAGTTGACATCACTTAAAGAACCATTGGCAAACTTGGAGGTACTAGACAGCTGCTTCGTCCTATTTTATAACGTCTCATCATTACGCACCACTGGGGTTAGAACCCAGGATCTACTGGTTATAAGGCGAGCATGTTGACTATCAAGCCACTGGGACCCGATCCAACAGCCCATGGATT